TCACCATCCAACAGGAATTTTTCCGAGAAATTGTACAAATAATTGGCAAACCATCATAATTTTTGTCTTGTTGATTTTCAACTAGTTAGTAAACCTGTAACAAGATCATGTAAAGTAAACACCTCCAAAAAAAAGCAATTTAACTCAATGTTAAAACTTAACATGGCTTCGAAACTTATAAACTATTACATTGTCTTTAATCAAGTATTTTTTAGTTAGACAAACTCTAAATAGTGAGTAAGAAATTGTTTCCTAAACGTCAATTCAACTTGGTGTTAAAAATTTATCATTGCCGTCATAATTTCGAAATGAATTGTTTTAAGTGCAGCAATGGATATTTGTCATTAGGATAATAAGTTTTTTTTGCTATTAAAGTTGTATAAAAATGAATTGCATTAAAGCAGAATATAATTTAAATGAAACTGGCATACTAGTTTTACGTAGATTATGAACAATGCCAATATATTTAAATATCAATAATTACACTGCTTTACAAATTTAAATCGATCAAATCCTCCAGAGATCAAACCTTGATTTTCCGGTGCAGATTGACTCCCTGTTTCAAATTTTGATTTTGATTTTTTAAAGTGCAAATAACGTTATTTACCTATCTTTATGCCAATTTTATTTTTATATCCAGATTTTCACAACAGATTTCAATCATCGGTCATCGGTCATCTTAAAAATTACGCGCCTGAAAACCGAAATGTTATCACTTTATCTTGAAATCTAAAAAATTATTATTATTTATTATTATTATTCCGCCGGTAAATCTAATTTTAACCTTACTCAAAGACAATCGTTGGAGCTAGAGAATATTGACTGTAACACGTCAGCCCAGATACACAGGCAGACAGATGCAGATAACTCGATTTCAGGTAGCCAAACTTGGCATTAACATGACGACGGCAACGGCCAAAGTTGAAACATGCGTCTGGAATCCACGACGCTGGACAACTTTGTCGTGATATAAAATGTACAAAGCACAGGTAGTAGTTTCCCGAACAGCAGGGGACAATCCGAGCAATGCCCTGCAGTCACATGAAGTCCAGATTCCACTCAAAGTCATCCATGCATAAAGTCAAACGCAGGCGAACATCGCAGCACAACAATCAAAATAGCGTTTCTGAAGTCAAAGACGCCGCTGGGCAACTGGAACTATCGAAAAAAGGGAAAAAGGTGGTACTGGGAATGGAAATGGTCATGGAAATGAGTTGGGAATAGGCAAGCGAATGTGGATGGGCCATATGCATTGCAATAACTTGCCAAACTGACACCATGTCCTTGGGGTCCACTTTTTTCGGGAAGAGCTCGCGCGTTTCATCGATAACGATCCGTCCACATCTAACAAGTGGTGGCGCTGGAGGGCAGGTTATATAGTGTATCTGTTCATCATATGTCGGAGGACATCTAGGGGATTACAGTGCACGAAAATGTTATCTGATAAAATATTCTAGGTGTCACAATGGAAGATTCCTTGACAGACATCTAATGGAAATTATGAATATAGGACATATCCGACACTCGTCTGTTCGTCTATAGGAACGTCGAAATCTTGAAAACTACAAGAGCTATAGAATTTCATGCTTAAGGCAAGGCTAGTTTTTTTTTTTTTTAATTTACCAAAATACATATTTTAGCTTGGCTAATATTTATTAAGTCAAATTGTTATGTTACACCAAAATTTTCCCTATCGAATAATTATTTTAGAAGTTATTACAAATTAAGTTAAACAATGACGTCAACATAAGCAAACAATTACATCCTATCGCTAGATGGTCGCAAATATTTTTGCGCCAATAGAACTGCAAGTGACGCCATCTGTTGGCTTTTTACGAAATTGCTTTCCGATTCCTTGGTGTCATTGCTGTAACTCCTTTGAGTCAACATTTTTCACATTTTCATTTAATTTAAAAAGTTTATGAGTACTGTGTACTTTTTGATATAAGTATATTATTTTCGCACATGTGTCTGGATAATTTCTTTTAAGAACAAATATTTTCAGATTACCAACACTACCAGTTTCTCTCACTGTATTTGACTCGACAAACAATGAGAAATCATGCACAAATCGAGCAAATTGCATATTTCTTATTTCTTACGCTGGCGACTTTTAATTTTTTATGCGAAATGCAGTGGAGACAGGACTGCGACTGCAGGATCTTTTCCCTTTTTCCGCCGCCGTTTCCACTCCGATTCGCCGAAAATGCATTCCCCGTTGGCCATAGAAAGATGAGGACGATGCTGCCATCCAACCGCATTCCTCGCTTTTGCCATTTTTCAAACGCTATATTTTGTACGCTCGTGTGTGACTTGTAAATTTCCCTAGTCGGACTCTTAGAGGCGCTTGATTGAGCTCACGTTCTCCGGCTTCTCCGTCTACTCCAACTCTCCGTCTCTTTTTCCGTATCCGTCTTCGGTTTGACTGCCAGACGGAGTGCTCACTTCGCTTGACTTTTTATTCAAAATATATGAAATGGAGTGTATACTCGAATAAGCCCTGAAATTAAACCGGGGCTGGGAAAACGCCTTTTATTTCCCCCGTGAGTGTGAGCGAAGTTTGCCGCAATTTTCGCTTAGTTTTGGGTTTTGGGTTGGATTCGAACATGAGCCCCGGAATTCCTGGGCCTCAAATGAGTTTCCAAAGTTCCAAACTTCGACATCATTGTCTTTAATCAAAGAGCATTAAAATGTGCATGCGTTGAGCAGTATCCTAAACCTAATCCCAACCCGAATCCCCATTCGAATCCCTTTTTGCTCAGTGAGTCCGGAGTGGCATTTTTGCATGTCACACGGCGTATTGCGAAACATGAGTATGTAAATTTTTTGTTCTGTTCGTCTCAACCTCCTCAACCTCCTATTTCCACGCTCAGCTCTTATGGGTGTTCCCTATGCCATTATACTGTATTAAGTACAGAGTTGATTTCACATGTGTCCCCAAGTTGGGGTGGCTGCTGTGAAAAATGTTGCAAAGATGCAAAACAACTGTTGGCAGTTTGTCAAATTTGATTTGTCATACATCAAATGGCTTTAAAATGACAAGGAGCTGTCTGATGTGCTGCTGACAGTGGGTGAGAAGCTTTCTCCATTTCCCTTTTTTTTTGGGTTTGCTGTGAAGGAAAAAATAAAGTAAAATCTGAGTAAAATTCTGTGGGTTTCTCTTTACTCTGCGGCTGGGAAAATGTCCAGCAAATAACGAAAGTGTTGATGTGTAAACTCAATTGTGGGTTGTTTTTAGACATGGGGTTGGTCAGAAAAGATTTCACTGGATAAGGGTTTAGGTAATTAAGTGGATTGTGTCGGTAGCATATTAAATAACGAAGAGTGTTGCTTTGGAAATGTGTTGTTTGTAATACATTTATTCCATACTCAACTGCCTGTAAAACATTATCTTATATTTTAAGGTCTAAGATCCCCAAGTTAGATATTCCATTGAACTATCATTTGTCAAAGTAATACTGAACCCTCTGAGCTTCTCCACTTAATGAAGGAGTCATCAGTCACTGGGCCAGCACCAAATGCCAACAGCTTAAGCCGCAAAGTGATGCCACTTCACCTTAGCTAAGAGCCCTGCTCATTGCCCTAATATTCTAATATAAATTTAACGCTCTCCATCAAGAATGTGGCTAACTCGTCCCCAGGATACCAGAACAACAGGGCCACAGGAACAGCCGGCGGCAATAAGCTGACTTATGAACAAGGACCTGGGCAACATGGCCCCACGCCAAAAGGTACTTGAGGCCAACAAGGCAGGAGCAGTCAAGGACCAGCTGAAGGACTTGCAAGCGAAACTCATTTGCCTCATCAGGCCGAGGAGAGTAGGAAGCTCCACAGTTGGTTGTGGCCAGGACATGGTCTGCAATTGTGCAGCGTGACAAGCAAATTGCCAGGATACACACCTAGCCACAGACAATGTCGGTCCTTCACTCCACTCGCGTGTTAAACTTTGCCGAACGGACTCCCCTTCCCTCCCCTTCCCTTCACTCCTCTCCGTTTTCACAACCAGCCAAACACCCCATTCAACCGCCACACACACATTCCAAACTGGGCCAAAAGAGCTCGGTTGTGTGTGGATGAAGATGGGCAGCGTGGGCTGGGACTTCACTGGCCTGTGCGACCATGACTAATTTGTTAGCAATTATGTTGGATTGACGTCCCGGATTGGGCCACATTAGCATAATTGTTGTTATGAGATCGCCCAGGAGTCCAACAACAGACATTTTGAAGGGGGAATGCGGATGGGGTTGGGAGTTCCTACATGCAGTGCACTTGACATTCATTAACATGGCACTCGGAGAATCATTAGGGCAATGTGACGCGAGGCGAAAATAGCTAGAAAGGTCCTTTAAGAAAGGCCTCAAATGTGCCCTTAGTCACAGTTGATGTAACCAAGTCTATAGGGAAAATTAATTCGTTTTTAAACTTGTAACTCAAAGTGGGAGCTTTAAATGTTTGAACCATTTGAACCATAGTTCTAATTAAGGCTTTACAATTCAATTAACACTAAGTAATTGTTAAGCAATTAATGCTAAATGTACAACATATAACATAAACTAAATTGCTAATAAATAGTTTAGTTTATTAAAGTTTCTCCTAATCACAGTTCTGTTGCAGTCTTTTGGGAATATCAATTAATTTTAGATTTGTTATTCTCACTGTGAACTAAAATTACTCTTTTTAGGGCTACATATATTAATTGTACCTGATGAATCGCTAATCAATGTATGCAAAATATCTTATAAAATTAAATGTATGTTTGTAAATTTGTTATAAACTATTTAAGGTGAAAGTAATAAGTTCTACCAAACAAAAGAAGGAACATGTTGAGTACATTGTTAGTTGGAGTAATTATCATGCGACTAAGACACCAATTTGTTTTAACATGTTTTAATATTAATACTTATTAAGGGCCTTAAATTTATGTTAGTTTATGATTAAATAAGCTAAGCTTACTTTAAGCAAACTTAAATTTCTAGTTGGCTTTTAAATCACTGTCAAAAACGCTGGATTACTTTTATATGGACAAGATGATTCCAGACCAAATTCAAAATTTGTCGTCGTCGTCCGAATGCCGATCTTTTGTGAGGCGTCGGCCAGGCCAGAAACGCACTACCAATTTGTGGCTGGCGGTTTGTCCGGCTTCCTGGAGGTGGTCTGTTTCCATCCCCTCGATGTGGTGAGGTCGCGATTGCAGTTGCAGGGCCCACGTTCCGTTAGGGGCGAGGTGCTGTACCGGGGACCTCTGCACGCCATGGCCATTATTTACCGCCAAGAGGGGCTGACTGCCTTTTGGAAGGGCATTGTGCCGCCGGTTTGCGTTGAAACCCCAAAGAGGGGCGCCAAGTTTATGATGTACGAGGTGTTCAAGCCGTACTTTTATTTTGGTGCCCCACAGCCCACTCCCTTGACCCATGCCATGGCCGGCACACTGGCCGGAACTCTGGAGTCCTTCGTCGTTAACCCCTTCGAGGTGGTCAAGATCATACAGCAGGCCAACCGCTTGGAGCGCCTGTCAACATTGTCGGTGGTCAGGAGCATCATCAAGCACGATGGCTGGGGGTTGGAAGGACTATATCGAGGGATTACAGCCCTAATGGCTCGTAATGCTGTCTTCCACTTTGGCTTCTTTGGCTTCTACAACGCGATCAAAGACTGGGTTCCCATCTCGCAGAATTCCCGCTCTGAGCTCCTTCAAAAGGTCACAATCGCCGGATTCGCCAGCTGCCTAGCTGGCGTGATGAGCTTCACTTTGGACATGGCCAAGTGCCGGATTCAAGGACCCCAGCCGGTGAAGGGCGAGGTCAAGTATAGGTGGGCCATCGCGACGATTAGAACCACCTACAGGGAGGAGGGCTTTCGCGCCCTGTTCAAGGGTCTGTCCTCCATGCTAATGAAGGTCGTTCCGGGTGGAGCTATGCTGCTAGTGTCCTACGAATATATATATGAATTCCTTAAAACTACAGATTTTTAACATTTATATTTATAAAGAATATACTCGACTTTCATATCTGACTCATTACTTAATAATTGTTTGTTTTGTAGGCTATAAAATTAATGATTTTTAAGTCCACACTTGGTGCACATAAAAAGTAACATACATGATGCTGGTGTCCTACGATTATTTATATGAATTCCTTAAAACTACTAATTTGAAACCTTTATATAAAGAGTATATACTACTTTAATATAGAACTTTTAACTACTGTTCTCAATTGTAGGCTAAAAGCTGTTGTATTTTTTTTACTAAGAAAATTTACTTATTGTGATTATTATTATTATTGTTTCAATATTTCTACTAATAATGGGGACTACACCAATGATGTAGATGGAAATTTAATTATTCGACGGATCCTTATAAAAATAATCCACAAAACACTACCAATAAAGAATATGTACCTTTACGCAACTGCTTATCATAAATCAATTATAGTATATATTAAAGAATGTCTACATCATATCATATCCTCTCTATTGAAATCTCAATTGACAAAACTCCAATTAATACTTCAATCGAGAGCACTAGTTAAAGCCATTAATATATTTGAAATTAAACTGTAATTAGATAATCGATATAATTAAGTGTCGCAATACGTGATGGCTCAATAACTCTGTACAGTTTTTCCTCGCTAATTACTCAAAAACCTCAAACCATCAAGTCGAAATCTGTTTACCTCCCTGCTGATTATGGTCACCCAAACAATATTAATTTATCTTCGAGACCCAAATTGCCATTTGTGTTTTTGTTTCAGCTTCGACTTCCGTTTCCGTTTCGGGGTTTCCCCACAAACACACACATACAGACACACACACACACACAGAGATACATGACCGCAGACCGCAACTCCGCATGTTTCACACTTTACACTTAATTGTTTAGCACGACAAGAGCAGAAACACCGAAAACAGCAACTGAAACGGCATCAACAAGACCGACAATTGTAAGCCAGCCATAACAACAATTACAATTACACGGTGAACTTACAGGGCGATTTATAATTAATTTATGCCTAGTGTTGCAAGTGCTTGCTTGGACGCCTCTAAGTGAGCTACTGACTTCGTTTCCCTATTTCCCATAGTTTTTCCCTTTTTTTTGGCTTCATTCCACTTGACACTCGCACCTAATTGCGTGGTAATTGAAGGGTCCTGCAGGACGAAAGGAATGGCAATTAAGAGTCGTTACGGTGAGATAATTGGAAGCTGCCAAGCAGAGCAAAAGTATCTCACCCAGTGGGGTATTCATATCTAACATTAAGACCCAATTGAGCCACTTAAATCGTATAAATCAAAGTTGAATGCTTGGCCAATTTGGCCAACTGCAAATCAACATTTGTTGCCATCAATCAAATTTTCAATCCCAACAAGCTGGCCCCGGACTTTTCCCTTCTAAAGGGGGAGGTTGTCAAATAGAGTTTCATGCTTAATTAGTTTTAATGCGTAATAAGCATATTTCGGCTGAATTAGTCAAAAACATCAACCGTAACTGCGACTGCAATTGCAATTGCAATTGCAACAACAGCACAAATGTTCAATTGTAATGGCAATTTGGGCCTTAAAGTATGCAGTGCACAATTTCAATTATTCATAGTTGAAATTGCAAATGCGTAATGAAATGAAATCAAAAGCAGAATTTCCGATATGTGCAGTCCAAACCTAATTCCGCCCCCCCAAAAAGCCCCAACCCAATCGATTTCGTCCCCAATGGAGTAGAAATGCCCTTGAGCCATTTGCCATGTTCATGTCGACGTCATTTTCCATGGTATAGTAATTACACTAATCTATGTTTCGAGTATCTGTGTGTTTGCTCCAGTGTGTGAGTGTGGGTGTGGGTGTGGGTGTGTGTGTTCGCCTATGTAAATGCATTTGAAATTGACCCTGGAGACATTTGGTTGGCAAGAAAATGCAAGCCAAAACTCATTTATTGTTTTGTCCTCTTGTTGTTTGCTGTTTGCTTCTCAGTTTGTTTAATTGTTTGCCAGCTCCAAGTGTTTCTTGCTTGTTGGCAATTTGTCGACCGGTTTAAATTTATTGCAAACAGAACCAAGAACAGAATGTTGACCAAATTAAAATACTCGTTTTAATAAATGCTTCACTAATTGAGTGAGCCATGGCAAAATTTGAAATTTATAGTCTGCTTATTTACGGAACAACTGACTGATTTGATTATGTCTCTAATGAGTCCATTAAATATAAGCGCTAAAAATTTGACCAGTGAGGCAGACATAAACTATTTCACTTATTTTCTCGATCAATTGCTAAACAAAATTTCGCTTTGAAAAATCATATTGAATTAGCACAGAAGTGCACAATACAATTTAATTGCTCTGGTCAGAGAGTTGGCAACTGTGCTCCTCTGCTCACTCCGCCACCAGTGGTCGTGTCTAGTCAATAAAATATGAATTATTTGAAATATTCAAACGGCCCAAATAAATCAAATGCCAACACTCAACACCATCAGAAGCCAGAGAGAAGTAGAAATTTACAAGTATTTTTTGTGTTGCTGAATTGTGTGCGGCCTGACTGCCTGCCAAAAAATTTACCAACTGAGGATAATATTTTTTATCACGAAACTGTACAAATTTGTGTTGCCGTTGTGGTTGTCTAAATAAATTTTTTATTGACCATGGTTAACGCTTCACTGGCCAATAACCAGAGACATGGCACGCGGGGCAGGGCCAAAACCATGCAAAAGGCAAAAACCACTGGAGAATGCCAAATTGTGGGGCCAAAAGGGAGGCTGAGGTTGCGACTGTGTGGCTGTGTGGCTGTGTTGTGGGGCAGAGGAGTGTTCAAAGTTCTGGCTTCCCACACAAACGCCTCAAAGCATGCCACAAGTTATTTTCACAGCCCAGCTCACTCACACAGCAGGCAGTCGAGTGTGCGTGGCTATGGCCACATATTTGTGCCTTTGTCGGTGCTCGTGTGCGAGCGAATAAATGTATGACTGAACGAATGAAATGCTCAAATTACACATGTTATACAATTGTTGGTAGAAAATATGATTATGCTCGAGGGAAAAAGGCCAGCAAGACCCCCCAACACGCCCAACGAAATTTCAAATGTCTAAACGTGCGTCTGTGTGCCTCCTTAGAGGTGTTAGTCTGGAAGATAAAAGGACGACTAAATGCATATACTCTTTTATGGATTTCGTTTATGATTTAATTAGGATCTCCCCAATGTGCACTCACAAGAACAGTATTTAGGATTAAATTGATTTATTCTGTAAGTTTGACTTATATGGTAAATATTTAAAATAATTATGTTGACTCTTTTGTAAGTTTCACTTAAAGAGTAAATACCTTAAAAAAATTACCTTTTTGATTAACACACTTACATCTATTTATATTAGGAACCGTAACCATTAGAAGTTTTGTTTTTAAAAATCACAAAGTTACGCTATTTTTTTTTTTTGTTAACTAATGATTATTTTAAAGACAAAAAAGCAACAAAATCAACACTGATAATTGTTTTTGATAAAAATAAAATATGTTTTAGTGGCATAGTGAAATTGTTTAATCAGTTAATCAAAAATCTATCCAAAGCTTATAAAAAAAATTATTAAATTAATTTTAAATACATAAGTTTGTCAACAAAGCAAAAGTTAAACAAATATAGACATAAATAAATTGTTCTTGTAAAGAAGCTTTAAATCAGGATGTTAAATAGTTTTTCAACAATAAGCCCCAAAGAATAAAATTTACGATTTATTATTGCCAGTTCTAAACAATTTTATTAATTAAATTATTAATAAATTATATATTAAAAAAACAATTTTTGATTAGTTAAAAAAATATAAATATTTTGTATTGATAGAAGGTTTATTATTCGATGTTTTCTTGAACTACCACATTCCATAAATTCATAACACGTTTTCCGGTTACCGTATTTCGTATAAAATCCGTCTGAGGAGTCGATAGTAGGACTGCTCAGAAGGATTTTATCCTTCTTGACTGGCTTTTATTTTCGCATTTTACGTGTCTCATGTGCGCTCATTTTCAACTTTAAAGCAGCCAGAGGAAAGAGGCAGAGGGCTGGTTGAAAACGAAATGAAATTAATATGAAGTTTGACTTAACGCCTCATAAATCATTGTCCAATTTTCAGTCGACAACGATACGGGGACACAGGGCTTCTGGACTCCGGACTCCGGACTTCAAGACTCTGGCAAAGAGCCGGAGAAAATAGGGGCAATCCTGTGGTGGCATCACTGTCCTGCTGACGTTGTAACACAAACACACTTAAAATGATTGAAATATATGTAGAGTCGGATATATGCGTAACATGGCACGACATCGCCCCATATATAGTACACATCCCGACTATATATTGGCTGGCTATGGCTAGCATCCTAGACGAGCGAAGACTGAAGACTTCCTCATTACACGCTTGTCACGTGCACATTTAACGTTCCGTTGCACACACACACATCCATATAATTATACGCACACAAGCAGGACCACCAACACCAACACAAACACCAAGGCATGACAGTCATTCATATTAATATTGTTGGTCAAAAAAAAAAACGAACATGGAGAAAAAACAACGGCATGGAGAAACGACTCTTTAGACGCTAGGAGGGCACCGCTGCATACCAATTTTTAGGTTCTAAAAGTCTCAAAAAAAAAATACAATTAAAGTAACGATGTAAGTCGGCAAGCACTTTAAATTAAATGATGTTTGAAATACAAATATTAAATTTTAAATATAAAAATAACTATAACTTTAAGTCTTAAATTGAAATGATGAAATAAATTAAAAAAAAATTAAGTAATTTATAGCCTGCAATAATTTAAAGTTTAATGAATTTGAGTGAAAAACTGACCCAAAGTAAAATTTATGTTCTGCATACATAAATTATTTAAATTCACTTGTTAATTTTTTTTTTTAATTTTTTATAAATAAAAAGAAACTTTTTGACAATTTTACATACTTTCAGTTAAAAAAAAAAGCTTCTCTCTCTTATAAACTTAATCTACTTGAGCAATAAAATTAATTCTAAGTCCCCATGAACAAC